GGCTCAGGTACGTGGGCCCATCAGCGCGGCATTCATGTCCTTGCTGCGCGTCGGCTGGGCGGCGGCCAGCATCAGCACCTGGATCAACGCGGCTACTGGCGCAGTGTATAGGCCGCTGGATTTTTCGCCGTGGCATACCAAGCAAGTGGTTCGGAAAGCAGTTCTTTGGTGGCAGTTCCAGAAGTGTGCTGACGAGCTGCCGCATTTGGACAACGGTTTCAACATCATGCAGCTGAGGAAGTGGATCTATCGAGGAAGGCCCACGGCGTCGGAAGGACGTGACTGGCCTACCCTTGGTGCAGAAGAGCGGCGGTGCGCCAGGTCGCTCATCGTCGGCGGGCAATGGACCAACCATCGCCGCTTTCACAATAATCCTCGGTATGCGCATTCAGAAGATTGCAACTTGTGCCCTGGGCAAGCTGGCACGCTGTGGCACCGTCATATGGAGTGTGCTCACCATTGGCCGCAGGCGGAGTTGCCAGCAGCCATTGATTGCCACGCTAAAGAGGCAGGCGGACCACCCCAACATCATCGCGCTGGTCGAGCGGCTGCTGCTAGTACGGCCACGAGTGGTGTGGCAGCCACCTCAGGACGAGATCCTGTCCTCTGTCAAGTGGTTGCTGGGGAATGGTGCTATGCCCTTTCACAATGATGAGCTGTTCACTGACGGCTCGGCGTTCGACCTTGACATCGATTACGGCATGGCTGGCTGTGCGGTGGTGCAGATTCCACTTGGGCCTGGGTGGCTTGACCCTGGTCCGAAGTGCGCCATTCGCGCCCTGGGATCGCCATTGATGGGGATGCACCAATCCGTAGAAGGTGCTGAGCTTCTCGCCGTGCTCATTCTTCTTCGTCACAGCCTGGCGCCCATCACGGTGCGGATTGATGCCAGTTACGTGGTTGACGGGCTCCTGGTGCGTGGGCCTGAGGGTACTTGTGGTGCCTCCCACAGCTGGGCTTTCCTGTGGCGGATGGTGTGGTGTGCCATCGAAGATTTCGGTGGGCTCGGTCCCGACGGGCTCACCGTGCTCAAAGTTAAAGGACACGGCACTCTGAGAGATGTGGAAGCGGGTCGGCTGTCTCGTTGGGAGCGCCGGGGCAACCTTGAGGCCGACGGGTGGGCCAATCACGCCACTCGGCCGTGCGCTTTGGGCGAAGTTGATAGGACCAAGATCAGGCGGTCGCACTTGCTGGTGGACGGCGTTGTGGCCTGGGTGTCCTGTGCTGGTGCCCCTGCGCCAGCCGCCCGTGACGACATTGACACTAATGTGGTGATCAAGCTTCCGCCGAAGGTTCGTCTCAGCCTCGCGGAGCACGACTTCGTGGTCGAGGCGAGCTGCTGGCGGTGCTCAAAGTGCGGGCGGTGCGCCGCCACCGAGAATTCCAAGCGTAAGCTGCTCAGCCTGCCCTGCATTCCACGGCCTGTGACGAGTGCCCCGCGCTCGGCCGACACGTCAGGAGTGAAACGACCTGCAGCAGCGGCGAGGCTAGCGGCGGCCGCTGCCGTTGCTGCGGCTGCTTCAGCTGCTTCGCAGTTCGGCGGCAGTACGGATGCTCCAGCTGCTAGCGCTGGAGACGACGGTGCTGCTCGGCGCGATAGTGATCATCAGCGGGCGTCAGCAGCGGCGTCGAGTGGTGCAGGCGCGGAGTCGGAGGCCCCAACGGACATGGCGAGGGGCCACGACATCCGCATCACCAACGGCTTCCGAGTGTGTATGAAATGCGGTTATTTCGTTCGTGAACGTGATGGGGCTCGTCCGTGAGCTTGGGAAGGATTGCGCGGGACACCCTCGCAAAGGAGACAATGCTGGACGAGTTCGACAGCAGCGGAGAGACTTGATTCTGTTGGGCAAAGATCCCAAGACCCGGAGGCCTCTCACGGGAGCTTGATTCGATGGGGCCACGTGTGGTTGCTGCTGCGGAGTTTCGGCCTCTGGTGCATCCACATGTGAGCCTCTGAGTCTTTCTTTTATCATCGCACGCTTTGCGTGGCACCCCACTCAGTGTGTGATGTCTGTGCTTTCACGTCAACGTTCTTTACTGTTGATTGTGTTTGTGCACGCTTCGCGTGGTATCCTCCAATGCGAGCCTGATGTCATGCTTTGTTGCTCCCGTGACATAGCACACGCTTCGCGTGGTCTAACCTGGACCGTGCTTTGCGCTTCGCGCGGCGCTCGCCCGAAGGGTGGAGCTCCGCCGTGCCTTTGCTGTGGCGTGGGCTGTGGGGTCCTGCCGTAGCCTTGCATGGTTGATCGGGCCGAGGGGCTCGGTTGTGGCGGCCCTGGTGGCTGTCGTGTGTACAGCTTGGCTGTGCACACCTGCACGTTCAAAAAAAAAACACGCGCACACGCACACACACACACGGACACACACGACACACACGCACACAGGCGCACACATACGCACACACGCAGACAGACACACACACACACACACACTACACACACCACACACATACACACACGCACACGCACACGCACACGAACATGTTCATGCACACGCACACGCACACGCACACGCACACGCACACGCACACATGTACACGCAAACGCAAACGCACACGCACATGCACACGCGCAGGCGTTCGCGCACGCGCACGCGCACCCGCACACGCACACGCACACACGCACACACGCCCACACGCACACACGCACACACGCACACACGCACACACGCACACACGCACACACGCACACGCGCACACGCGCACACGCATACACATATACATACACATGTACACATACACATACACACATACACATATATTCATGCACATGCATATGCACATGCACATGCACATACACATTCACAAACACAACTACCTACACATACATATATACGTAGACGTAGACGTACACGTACACATACACATACGCATACACATACACATGCATACACATACACGTACACACACGCACGCATGCACCCGCTCGCACACATACACACCCACACCCACACACACACCCACACACACCCTTTTACACACGCACACACATACACCCACGCACACAGCCACACACACACACACACTGGGTAGGCTCAGTAAGCACACCGCGAGCAAACCTTTCTCTCAATGCAGGTGGTGCATCCAGTATAGTTTCCGCCGCTCTGCCAAGCTCGGGAGGCATACAATCCCGTCTCCACATTGCGTGTGCAGGACACTTGTAGCGTCTGTGAATAGGGAGCCCCATTTTGACTGGCAGAGCTGGCAAACGTCAGGCAAGGCGAGCTCAGGAGGGTGAGGAGGAGGAGGAGGACCAGGAGGAGGATGAGGAGGAGCAGGAGGACGAGGAAGGCCCGCCACATATTGGAATGCCACGACACCGTTCTTGTCAGAAATGGTCGTGGCAGGTCTTGCCCTCCTTGTGGACCATATTCGGCCGCCGGCTGCTCCGTTCAACCAGCGTGGTCGAAACTCGGGCCCACTCCGCCCTCCCCGCCATCATCACTTTCGTCCCCGCGTGGAAGCCGCGTCAGCCCGCTCGGTGTGCGGATATCCGGCAGCCGCCCTTTCCACTGCACCAGCCCCGCCAGTATCGCGGGCTATCCTCCAGACAGGCTGAAGGAAATGGAGTAGCAAGAGTAAGAGGAAGAGAAGGATCGCCAACACATTGAGGATGATGCTGGGGATGATGGCGAGGACGAGCATGGGGAGGAGAAGGAGGAGGATGACGAGTCTGATGATGATGATAATGATTATGATGATGATGTTCTTGATGATGATGATGATGATGATGATGATGATGATGATGATGATGATGATGATGATGATGAGTAGAGGTCGCCTACGCCCTAAGATGGAGATGATGATGATGATGATGATGATGATGATGATGATGATGATGATGATGATGATACTGGTACTGATGATGATGACGATGACGATGACAATGATGATGATGCTGATGATGATGATGGTGCTGATGATGATGACGATGACAACGATGATGATGATGATGATGATGCATATGATGATGCTGCTGATGCTGATGATGATGATGCTGATGATAATGATGATGGTGAGGAGGGTGACGATGATGGTAAGGAGGGTGATGATGACGACGACGAAGACGATGATGATGATGATGATGATGATGATGATGATGATGATGATGATGATGATGATGATGATGATGATGCTGCCGATGATGACCCTGCTGCTGCTGCTCTGATGATGTTCCTGCTGCTGCGGATGATGATGATGATGATGATGATGATGATGATGATGATGATGATGATGATGACGATGATGATGATGACGATGACGATGATGATGTGATTGAAGGGCGGTGAGGAGGATGACGAGATGCGCAATATGCTAGGCTAGACATGGAGTGTAATGCGGAAGCTGCGAAGGAGGGTAAAAAGAGGGAGATGGGGAGGTGGAGGAGGGGGATTACAAGGAGGACCTGAGGAGGAGCTTGATATGGAAAGAGGATCATCATGAGATGGTGGAGGGAGAGGATAATGAGGAAGAGTAGGAGGCGTGGAATGGGGCAAATGTTTGAGGGAGTGGATCGGGGGAAGACGGGGGATGACTATGTCCCATATCCGACATCTGGCCGATTGTGGCCCAGCGCTGGCGCTGCAGGGCGTCCGAGGAAGCCTTCCAATTGAACTGCCTCTGTGGTGGATGCACCTGGCCGCAGCCCCTAGCTAGAACCTGAGCGCCCGCGAATCGCGCGCGACTGTTCTGCTGTGTCTGTATAGTAAACGCATTTGCAGATGTACACACAGACACACATTTACCTCTCTCTACACATTTGTATGAAAGTACAGCGCACATCTGTCTCCTCTCTGCTCTATACTTTCGGCGTGGCTTCATGGTGCCGCTCATCCGTCCAAACTGGACATGTGGGTTTGCCTCGCTCCAAGCCAGCCCTAGGGACTGGGCGAAGGTACTATTGCTGTGCTCCTCCATCGCATGTTGCCTATGGTGCTTCTCAGTTGCCCCATAGATGCCTCTTGCTTCTCCGCCCTCGCCTGGCTCATCCGGTCAGGCGGGAAACGCTGGCCGAGTTAGTGATGATGATTATGTTTTTCTCGTGGGTCGGCTACCACAACGGACTGTCCCTCGGCCTCTGCCAGCAGGACAGGCCGAGCCAGCCTCCAGTTCATCGCAGCAGCTTGTCTTCTGCACTGCAGACCGGCCCTTCGCCCGCCTGCAGCCAGTACGCTGAAGTAAGGACCAACCTCGGGCTCAGGATGGGGCTCAGATTTTCGGGCTGTTCCTTAGGTTTAGGCCGGGTAACCCATTCGTGGCTGAGGCTCGCCGTGGCCAGCATAGCCCCTTCGTTCCTTACGCAGCGTTCCTACGGCAGCACGGCGACCGTGCTTCGACCTCGAACCTCTCGACCCTGTCCCCTTCACCGGGCCTGGGAGCGTTCGGCTGCCCGCGCGGATCTTCACCGCGCCGGTCCACCCGAGGGCAGGGCCCACTTCGATCCGATTCGACGTGGATTCGACGTCGATCTCGGCCAACCCGATCCGATTCGATTCTGGCATTCGGGCGATCCGATGCGGCCCGATGTTTGCACTCGGGGGGCCCTCAAAGGGTGTGGTGACCACACCGCGTGGTGCGTCAGAGGGGACCTGGGGTTGCTGGCACGGTTTTGGGACTCGGGTCGTTCTCCGAGGATGTCTCGGACGACTGGGGCCTTCAGGGCCCCTGCGCGGTGCGGTGACCGACCCGCGGTGAGCTATCTGGAGATGTCGAGGTCACCGCACGGTCTGTCACCGCTCCTTCTTGGGACCACCAGTTACCTGGCGTTGTTGTGCATTCTGACGCGGCCGATCCGCATCGATTCCGAATCCGTGCTGGTGCGGCCAGATCCGACGCACCTTCCGATTCGATCCGATCTCTCGATTCGGTGCCGATTGGTCGTGCCCGAAGGGGGTCCAGGGTGGTGGTGGGCTCCCTGCCCTCCCACACTGGGACACCGCCCGATCGTCCTCGGCCCCGCCATGGGAAGCTCGGAGCCCCGCCGCGAGATGGGGGGTGGAGTGCCTGGGGGTGCCTCCCCGCGAGGATTTCGGAGTAAGCGAGGCTCGAGCGCCCGACCTCGTGGCGGCCTCGCGCTGGCGCGGCCGGGCTGGCCGCTCCAGGCACGGTCTGCCGGCTGCATGCAACGATCACCACCCACCAAACCATCCCAACCCAACCCGAAGGCCCCAACCTGCCCTTCATTTCAACCCGTACCCCCGCCCCAACCCGAAATTCGGATCTTCGGAATTGGGGTGGGGTGGTCTGGTAGGTAGTCAAACGAGTGGCCCTTCGCCAGAGGGGCCCGGCGCTCGTGCAGGGCCGGGCCCGAGCACAGCAGGCCGCGGCGGGGCCGCACCGCGCGCAGCGGCTGGCGGGCAGCGCTTGCCAGAGGTCGCGCTTGCCCGGGGAGTCGCTCTTGCGCGTGTCGCCGAGCCCCGGTGGCGTGAGCGAAGGGCCGACGCTCCCTCTGAAGAAGGACTTGGTCGGAAATTGGGACATCTACGTTACCAGTGGCGGGGCGTTTTTCAATCCCAGGACTCTTTCAGGGTCAGGGACGACGTCGGGGTGGTGTGGTGTCTCCTTTTTTTTACCGTCTCCCGGGGAAACAACGAAACATGTATAAACCAGGGTCCCGTACACACCAGGATCGGCTTTCTTTAAGATTTCAGTGCAAGGCCGGGAAAAGCGTTGGTGTATAGAGTTCGTCTCTCTGTTGGCGGGAGCCCCGCGGAGGCCGCCAGAAGTGAGCAGGGGAGGCTACTGTCGGCGGATGTCCGCGCGGGCTCGGACAAAGGCGGCGGACCTCGAAGAGGGGTCAGTCCATCTGGGGTCTCGGAGGAGTCGGCCAGATGCAGGTGCGACAGCGGGCATGCTTTTCCCAGCCCTCCTGTGTGCTGGGCCTTCTTCTTGAATTTGCAGCGCCCCGCGTCTCCCACCTCCTCTCCTCTCCCTCCTCTCCCTCTCCCTCCTCTCCTCTTCCTCTTCATCCTTATCGTTCTGGCACGCCCCTCACAAGTTCCGTGGCCCCACAGAGAGCTCCGCCGAAAGCTTCATTGGCAGGGTTCGCATGCGTGCTCGGGTCCATTTCGGCACACCCATCACGCGTCTCGTGGCCCCATAGGGAGCTCCGTCGAAGGCTCCAGTGGAAGGGTTCGCATGCTTACTCGGGTTCACTTCGGCACAGCCCTCACAAGTTGTGTGGCCCCATAGGGAGCTCAACCGAAGGCTCCACTGGCAGGGTTCGCATGCGCACTTGGGTCAATTTCGGCGCAACCCTTACACGTTCCGTGACCCCATAGGGAGCTCCGCCGAAGGCTCCAGTGGCAGGGTTCGCATGCGTGCTCGGGTCCCATGTCAGCACAATCTCACACGTTGCGTGGCCCCATAGGGAGCTCAACCGAAGGCTCCAGTGGCAGGGTTCGCATGCGTGCTCGGGTCCATTTCGGCACACCCCTCAAACGTCTCGCGGTCCCAAAGGGAGCTCCGCAGAAGGCTCCAGTGGCAGGATCCGTATGCGTACTCGGGTCAACGTTGGCACACCCCTCACATGTTTCTTGGCCCCAATGTGGAGCTTCACCGACGGCTCCACTGGCAGGGTTCGCATGCGCCCTTGGGTCAATTTCTGCGCACTCCTTACACGTTCCGTGACCCCATAGAGAGCTCCGCCGAAGGCTCCAGAGGCAGAGTTCGCATGAGTACTCGGGTCCCATGTCGACACGCCTCGCACACGTTGCGTGGCCCCATAGGGAGCTCCGCCGAAGGCTCCATTGGCAGGGTTCGCGTGCGTCCTCTGGTCCATTTCTGCACGCCCCTCACACGTTTGGCGGCCTCATAGGGAGCTCCGCCCAAGGCTCCAGTGGCAGGGTTCGCATGCGTACTGGGGTCCACTTCGGCACAACCTTCACACGCTTCGTGGCCCCATAGGGAGCTTCGTCGAGGGCGCGAGTGGCAGGGTTCGTATGCGTACTTGGCCCAATTTTGGAGCAGCAGGGTACTGCAGATCCCTCAGTATGTTCATGTGCATTGAGGGTTCCTATTAATATGCGCGACTCTTGCTCCCTGGCCGTGCCGCTCACCTTGCATTTCTCTTCTTTACTCTCCTCATCCGGCAGAGGTAGGCACCCGCCAGAACGAACAATCCTTCCTCTCTTCCTCCGCCTCCGCCTCCTGCTCCCTCCTCTTGGACCTGTAGACTTCGAATTCCTCGCTTCGATCGCGGGACATCAGGCAACAGAGGCTCGCACTGCCTGTCTGATGTCCTTCTCCAGAAAGGCCTGGACGCGCTCTTCGTGTGGACGCGCGTGGGGTAGAGTTGACGTGGCGCACTTTGAACCCTTGCAAGAGAGCGATCGGCCCGTTGGCGAGGCAGCCCATACCGATAATCACGGCCGACGCGATTCAGAGGTCGACATGGTTCGTAATACATCTCGTGGTCTCTGCGTGGTTTGCTTGCGACAGTCAAGCAGCGGAGAAGCACTGCGGCTCCCAGATGTCCATTCTGACCATCTCGGGGCTTTTCTTCGCTTTCTTCACCCAGGTCTGGGTCCTTCTATCTTCTCCCTATCGTCCTGGTCCGCTTCGTCATGCTTTCTGTTGTCGTCTCCACTCGCCCCTTCGTCCTCCTGCGTCTCCAACTTGTTATTGTCTCTCTGCTTCTTCTCGCTATCCTTCCATCCCCCTCCTGATCCTGCTCCTGCTCATGATCATGTGGCATCCGTTGCTGCTGCCCCCTTCTTTCTCGTACATGCGCAGCATCAGGCCCGATGCACGCGTACAGCTGTTTATGGGCGCGCCAGCTAAAGGTGGTGCACAGGAGGCTTGGCGATGTTCTGGCAATAGTTTAGTGCGTTTAGCCCTTCACTTTTTTTGCATGCCCAGCTGATCTCATGCAATGCTAAACTTCTGAACTCATCAGCCCCGCACTGGCCCCCGTGTACCGAGGTCTCCCACTTGCAGGAAGAGTGTCACGTGGACAAGGCGGAAGATTGGGATAAGCTCTCGTTTGCCATGCGCCAGGTCGAGCCCGCAGGGGGAGGAGGGAGAGGAGGAGGATGGGAATTACTATGCTGATGCTGATGCTGATGCTGATGCTGATGCTGATAATGGTGATGGTGATGGTGATGGTGATGGTGATGATGCTGCTGATGCTGGTGCGGATGACGATGGTGTTGATGATGCTGATGATGGTAATGCTGCTGCTGATGATGAGGATTATGATGATGATGCTGATGATGATGATGATGCTGCTGCTGCTGATGATGGTGACGAGGAGGAGGAGGAGGAGGATGTGGAGTATGATGATGACGATGGATGACGATGCTGATGATGATGCTGATGTTGATGATGATGATGCTGATGCTACTGATGATGAGGCTGATGCTGCTGATGATGATGACGATGCTGATGGTAACGTCGGTGATGCTGATGATGGTGGTAGTGATGACGATAATGATGCTGACGCTGATGATGTTGATGATGCTGATGCTGATGATGATTGTGATGAGCTGGTGATGATGGCAATGCTGCCGATGAGGTTGATGATACTGCTGCTGATGATGCTGATGCTGTTGATGATGATGACGCTGATGCTGATGACCATGCTGCTGCTGCTGATGATGATGATGCTGGTGATGCTGCTGCTGATGATGAGGATTATGATGATGACGATGATGATGCTGATGATGATGATGATGATGATGATGCTGATGATGATGATGCTGATGATGCTGATGATGATGAGGATGATGATGATGATGCTGATGCTGATGCTGATTCTGATGATTATGGTTGTGGTGATGGTGTTGGATGAGGAGGAGGTGATGGTGGTGATGGACGAGGAGGCGGAGGAGGAGGCGGAGGAGGAGGCGGAGGAGGAGGAGGAGGAGGAGGAGGCCTCGCCCTCCAACGTCCCGAACGCATTCTCGCTTTTCCAATGCGTTCGGCTTCTGGGGGCTCTTTTCGCGCCCTGGGGCCATCAAAAAACGGCCTAGGACTGGAAAAAGGGTCTACAGGAAGGTGGGGGCCCACGCCGCGAACAACTCGTGACGTCGGATGTCGAGTGGAGCTTGCCGCGGAGGGTTTGCGATTCCCCATCTCGACAGCGGGTGTGATCGAGTTGTGCGCACGCCTCGGCCTCTGTCGCAGCGCACGCGGTGGTAGCGGTGCCAGAAAGGGAAAGAGGAGGAAGAGGTGGAGGAGGACGAGGAGAGGGGAGGAGGAGGAGGTGGAGGAGGAGCTTTGTGGGAACTCTTTGGCTATATAGCCAGCTCACACGCTAGAGCAGAGCTGGCCAATCTGCACGGACAAGCGTGGGGACGTTTTTGCTCACACCATGCTGTAATGGGCACCTCCTTTACGGCCTGACTGCAACGATTACCAGCCCAAACCAACCTATCACGAAGGGGCCACTGCTCCTCGCCCCGAAAGGGGGAAGAGGAGGAGAAGGAGGAGGAGGAGGAGGAGGAGGAGGAGGAGGAGGTGGGAGAATCAGGAGGGAGGAGGAGGAGGAGGAGGAGGAGAAGGCGGGAAGTGGGAGGAGGAGGTTTTCAGCAGACCAGGTTCCGGGCCAGCGGACGAAGCGCGCGGCGCTCGAGGACCGCCCCTCGGCTCCCGGGGGGCGGCCGCGCCCCCCTGGGGGGCCTGATGTCCGCCGATCTCCCCGGTGCTTTCGGTGGGAGCCTCTCGTTCCGAGAGCGGCGCGTGCAGCAGTCCTGGCTCCGCGGCCGCCTTCTGCTTCGTCACCCGTTTGTCAGCGCCCCGCGCCCGGTGCTCCCCGCTGGTGCCGACCCACGCGCCTGCATTGGCCGGCGCTGCAGCGGTCCTAAAGTCCAGCTCCTCTGCCACGGACTGCGTGTCTCACGGCTCGGGCAGGCCTGCGTCGTGGCTCGCCGGGGCCGCCGACCTGCTGCTGCCTCGGCCGCCGCACAACCACCCCGAGGCCACGTCTTGGCCACGGCACTTCCAGCAGCGCGCGAGGGTGTTGGACAAGCTGGGCGCACTCGCGTCATATCTGACGCCATGCCCTTGTCTCCCCCCCTGACCGTTGCGGAAGTGGAGCCTCTCTCTATTCGCATGGCCGGGTGCCGAAGAAGACGCTGATTCCGAAAGGTGAAAGGCAGCACAACATAATATGGCATAGCATGGCGTAGGTGGAGCACGTCAGAGCGTAGCATGGTATAGCATGGTGTGGCATGGCGTAGCCAAGCATTACGCATTACAGCATCGCTTAACAAGGCATGACACCGCATAGCGGTGCATCGTGTAACACCTTTTTGTATGCCATGGCATGACGCTGCACACTATTATAGCATGTGATTTCATCGCGTAACCAAACATTGCGCACCGCAGTATTCCAGAACAAGGCTGGGCATCGCATAGCGGCATCGCATAGCGGGCATGACGCCCTACACACAGTGGGAGCATGATTGAGAAGGACGAGAAGCACGGACATGAGGCCAGTGCAGCAGCGGGAACATGACGTCTAATGACCGAAACGCACAGTGAGGCCAATGCTATAGCGGGAGCGCCAATGCTACAGCGGTACCGCCATTTTGGAAGGGCCGAACACGTGAGGCATTGACACTCTTATACGAAGTAACACCTTTGATAATCTGGTGTGCAAAAAGAAAATGTGGATGGGGGGCGCCATACTCTCAACACGTCCTCCAGAATGAGAGGAGAGCAGTTTTCATAGTGTAATTGTATTCGTCGTCATCATTGTCGTCGTTTTCGAGGCTCTTACCGGGTGTTGCTAGAAGTGGCCTCGGCCCTGGGCTCTAGGATGACCCCAGTTTTCCCAGGGAGGCGCAGATGGATTCCAGAGCATCCCTCACGAGGCCCAGAGGGCCCCACCGGCTCCACAATGGCGCCACATGCTGGGAGCACCTTGGGCCAGGACCACTCGTAGCTACACACGATCTTAAGTGTTTCGGGAGTCTCGTCGCCACCGATGGACGCAGCTCGAACAGTTGGCCAGGATGCGCTCCTGCAGAAGCCCTGTAGGGACTGGCTCTGGGCGGATGCGGGTCGGGTGGCGTGGCGAGGGAGATGCTGCCTACTGAGAAGGCAGGTCTTTTCTCTGAAGCCCAACCCATCGGTCGTTGAAGGTATGTCTGATTGAATCTTTTAGTGCATGTTTCGATCATCGAGTGGTTTTCGTTTTTCTCGTTTTTCCTTCTTCGTCAGGGGGCGGGCGGAAACCCGACATACTTCAACGCCTTCCTACAGTCAACCCGCATAACAAGGATGAACCACTTTCCAAGGTTACCCTTGCATCCTTCCCCTTCGGCCGATCCTTGGCCGCTTTCGCTGGCCGCGCCCCGCTCACAAAGTGCTGAAAGGCCCTTGCATCCTCATCGCGTCCTTCTTGTACGGGTTGACTGTTCCTTTTCCGCCCGCTTCTTCCTCCGTCCAGTGGGTGCTGCCTTCCAGCAGTCTTCCCGATCCCCCCGAGACACGATGGCAAAGCGCAGCCCTGCGGCCTCCGGGCGCCCCGTCCACAGCTGTCCAGGCGCGCTGCGCTTGGCGGTCACCCCTGCAGTCATCCGGACTTGGGCGGGCGGGAGGGCTCGCAGCGGTCCCGGGGCGGCCTCGTTACCCCGATCCTCGAGCGCACGACGCCTGTCTTCGATCGTCGACCCTCGATCTTCGATGCTCGATCCGAGATGGTCGATCCGCGGTGCTCGATCGTCGGTTCTCGATCCTCGATGGTGGATCCTTGATCCTCGGTCCTCGGTCTTCGATGCATGCCCAGACGTTTTCAAGATGGCTCCATGACCTCAATCTGACGCCGGCATTACTCCAACATGACTCGATGTCCTCCTATTCTACGGCCCCAAGATGATCCTAAGATCACGTCAAGATGCCATCAAGGTGACCCGAGTACATCAAGCTGACCCCGCGATGACCGCATTGCGACTCCCTGGGATGACATTCTAGGCCCAAGATGGTTACAAGGCGAACCCATGGCTTCAAGCTAAGCTTGCGATAATCCCAAGATGGCTCCATGACCCCAAGACGGACCCATGATCACCAGATGACCTCACGTTGAACCCCATGACCATGAGAAGATTTCAAGGTGGCCCTAAGATGATACTATTACCCTAAGATGCCGTCATGTGTCCCGATGCACCCAGCATGACTTCAAGGGTATCCGAAGACGGCTCCAATACGAACCCCACGACCACAACACTCTCCGAACAGGGCCCCATGGACTGAGTGCAACCTTCTGACGGTCCGAGCACGACCCCGCTACTTCCTGCCTGCTTTCACCGAGTTTTGTTCCGGGGTTGCGGTAGAGGCTCCCGATCTCCTCTACAAAGCCCCCCCGGCCTGCTTAGAAGGGCCCTCTCCGCCCTCTCGCCCCGCCGCCTTTACGCGCGCCGCCCCAAACGGACTCAAGGCTGAGTGCCGCCGAGGAGTGACACCATTCTTGTGCGGTGCAGGGTGAGGGGACAAATTGGGCACCTTGAAGAAGACATTGTCCTGCAAGCAGGTGCCCCACGGACATGTCTTATAGCCCCATTGCCCCAGGGATCCACAGAAGCCCCAGAGCACCTTGTGATCGTTTTCTTATTCATTATTTTGCCGATCGTAGCGGGCCCTCGCACCCCCCCCTCCCCCCCGATGGAGTAGATCTTGGTTGTTTTTGGCGCCTGTTTCAAGCAGGTGGGCGGCTCCCCATACGATTTCCCATGGGGGCATTGTTCCAAGCCGTCGCACTAAACAGAGGTCTGGAGCCAGTCCCTCCTTCCCCCCCGCCTTCGCCCAACGCCGAAACGCCGAAAACCATTCACCTCAGGACCATCAACTGTCGAGGAATAATGTGCCCCCCAGATCTCTCATAGCACGAATTCCTATTGTACGTGCTCGCTGTACAGCAGCGCGCGCGCCGCCACGAGGTCAAGTGCTCCATGGACTTCTCGCCAGACAGCGCCTTCTGGGGCCACGTCTCGGGGGGCCTCAACACGCAGGCCACGCTCGCCGCGGCTGCCGACCTGTAGCCCACAGTCCAGTCCGCCGGCAGGGGTTCTGCGCAAACGGGGCTCGCCCAGAACGCTGGATTCTGCAGGATCCTGCACGGCCAGAGTTTGGCTGAGCCGGGTTTGGAGGAGGAAAGGGTACTTGTGAATCTCTGGCACACGTGTGTGTTTCGGTTCAGCTTTTAATTTTTGATTTCCTTGACCCGGGCCCAGGGGATTGGCCCTCTCTGGTGCCTGTACGCCTTATTGGCTCAAGTCCAAAACCATTTGCTGCTGCTCCTGCTGCCACAGTTGGTAGCGGAGCCGTGTGAGCTCCAGGGCCTAGGGTGCCCGCCCGTCGCGCATGGCGCGCGCCGGCGGCTGCGCTCAAGGGCTCCAGGAGGACGCACGGTTTCCATCAGCCGACGTGCGTGGACCGAGACTTTCGCGACGCTCGCCGGCTCCCGGGAGACGCAGGACGGCGCCGCGAGCCAAAACCAGAACCAGAGCCAGAGCACTGGTTCCAGCGTGGTGCGGCTGGAGGATGTTCGGGAAATCGTTGCCAGCATGATCAGGGTGGCTGGCCAGCTTGCTCCCGCGGCGTTCCCACCCGCGCCGCCCGCGGCTGCTGAGACAGCCGCCCCGTCCCGCGGCTTGGACGAGTGGGCGAACGGCAACGACCCCTGGGCGAGAGGTCGTGCTCCGGATGGGACTGGACGCCAACGCGGCCAGCCCTCCGACGATCGCCCGGCGGCCCGGGCTTCGTGGGACGCATCAGGTGCAGACGGTAGATGGAACGACCAGTCCAACGGCCAGAACTGCAGCGACGACAAGCTGCGCTGGCACGACGACGACACGCAGCCTTGGGCGCTCGAGCGATGAAGATACTTCGCAGTGGTCGTCGGGCGTGTACACGAAAGGAGATTATGGCGACTCACCAGCCTGGCCAGGTTGGCAACGCTACCGTACGTGGAAGAAGGCGATGCAGCGATGGGACCGATGCACAGATGTGCCGACCTACAGGCGGCACGACAAGTTCATGAGGCTGTTCACATGGACGATGCAGACGTCCTTCGAGGACATCCCCGAGAGCGACCTGGAGAGCAAGTCCTGGCTCAGCCACCTGCTCGCCCGCCTCGACAGGATGGCCGGCGAGCGAGAGGGCGATGCCGGGCATTGTTCGAGTGCCAGCGGGAGGCCAAGGAGGCGCTGCAGGCCGATCGCCGAGAGAGACAGTTCCGGGAGGCCGAGGGCAACGACCTCTGGATCTCGGACAAGCTCAAGGGCTTCATGATGGAAGTGGGAGCCTCGCTGTCACCGTAGGGGATGCAGAACATTAGGACCCTCGCCCGCGGCGATCTGGAGTACAAGAGCGTGTGTTGGGCCATCCGACAGCTGGACTTCACCACGTCTGAGCGTCTGCTGCCAGGCCGTAGCGCTGGCAATTTTGCTTCGTGGCCGGCATGAAGAAGCGAACGTGGAAGGGAACGCAGATCTCAAGCGGGCGGCCAAGAGGGATAGAGAGTACTACCGCGGCTCGGGCAGGGGCAGGCCCTCCGGCTCCGGCGGCCAGCGACCACCACCACCGCCCCGTAGTCGTTTCGAGCGCGGGCGCGGCCGGGGCAAGGGTCGGGGCCGAGGCAGGAGCCACAGGCTCGGCGGCCTTCCCCTCGAGGAGGTCATCAAGGTCACCAGGTGCCAGAATTGTGGCGAGAAGGGCCACTGGAAGGGCGAGTGCACGATGCCGAAGAAGGACGACCCGACCAGGACAGGCAAGCAGCTGGCGTCCTGCGCGTTCTCGGGCTGCGCGGCGCCACCCACTGACGACGCCCTGGCATCGCTTCGAGAACTCCAGGGCCAGATTTCCGAGATCTACCTGGCCGCTCGGCCGACGCAGGGGCTGGTTGACCCAGGCGCCGGCAGCGACCTAGTAGGACTGGCTACCCTCAACCGCGAGGCGCTCGCGCTCGGCGACCTCGGAATGACGCGCGTGGTAGCGCCTCCTGGAGAGGGATCGCCGATCCGACCCGCCCGCGGCGTCGGCGGCCAGTCCAAGATCGCGGGGTCGACCCTGTTCCCGTTGACTCTGGGCTCGAGGTGTCCTCGGGTTCGTGGAGATCGCGGTGCTCCTCGAGGACGTGCCGCACAGCATCGGCGTGAACCTCTTGGATTTTCTGGGGTGCGTCATCGACCTGCCGAAGAATCGCACGAAGGTCGCCAGGCTCGACACTCGGGCACCGCTCCACAAGTTGTCGTCGGGACACAGGATGGCGGACATCGTGCGCCCGTTGCCTCAGCCTGCGCGTGTCTTGCCGCATGCACTCCTGAAGTTCCTTTTTCTGCGGCCAGACTCTTTTTTCCCTGCCGAAGGCGGGCGCCCTCTCGAGATGGCCGAGGACGGCTCGGTATGCGCTGTCGCTGAGTACATGTCCCGCCTCTTCCTCTTCCCCATTTTCACCCTCGGGGCCGCCGTGGGGGGCAGCCTCAGGGGGAACCAGAGCGGGGTCTACTATGCCGCAGACGACCTTGTCGGGATCCTAGGGGCCATGTGCGCGATTAGCGGGGCCCCGCTCATCATCATGAGTCGGGTCCAGGGCGGCGAGGACACCATCGGGGGCCAGGAATGCGAGGCCGCGGGCGTCAGAGGTTGCCAGCCGGTCGCGTTGCAGCCGCGAGCTCAGAGGCCCCCCGCATCGGATAGGTATTATCATGTTTCGTGGGCCCGAAACCGACGGGGCAGCCTCGGATAGCCTCGAACTCCGTTGCCATCTGGGCCCGAGCAGTATCAATTGACTACAGCTCGCCGAATCAGCCACACCTCCCCCGGGACGCTCCATCAGCCAGTGCCACCGATGTGGGTCCGTGGCGCAGTGTGCCTGGCGACGCTCGCCTCGACGGTTCTCAGCATGGCCGACGAGACCCCGCCGTCCCAGCCTCCGGGTCGGGAGTCTGGACCGGAGCCCATGGGCGAGGAGACGCCGGTGCCGACGCCAGGGGCACCACCCAAGGCCCGCCGACTGCGGGGGCAGCAGCGCCGGGCCAGGGGCAGCAGAACGCTCCAGCAGTCGACCCGGCGCAGTCAGCAGCCCCGCGCGCGGGAGGTCGTGTCGGCGGCCCCCCATGCAAGCCGCCTCCAGGTTGCGGACGTCCAGCAGCCGCGGTCGCCGGCCCGGCGCTGCCGACGCCGCGGAGGCGATCGTGGCAGAGCGTCGGCGCCAGATGGGCATGCCGGCACTACGGGTCAAGCCGCCGCCGCCGACTCTCAAGGCAGCGCAGACGGCTGGGCCAGCGGGGGCGCCGCCCGAGGCGATCGTCGCGCACGTGCAGGACGGGGCTCCAGTTGTCGACCAGGCCTACGTGGGCGCCCTGGCTCACGGGGCGACGCGACGCGGACCGGCGCCAGCATGTCCAGGACTTCCGAAGCCTCAGCCGGAGGTCCCACCGCCAGGGCGGGCGGCTGCCGAGGCCCTCCCAGCACCAGGCGGCTCGTCATCATCGGCGACGACGACGACGACCCCCCAGACGGCGACAGGGGCACCATGTCCCCTCTCGCGCTGGAGATGCTACGGGAACCAGCACGGACATTGCAGCCGATGCACGGACTGCGGGGAGCGCATCACGTGGATTCCCAGGGCACCCGCCGGAGTCAACCAGAACGGTGGAGCCAGCGGGGACGACAGGCAGTCCGCGGCCGCGGCGGCTCGCCGGGCGGCGGACTCAGCCGAGCGTGCAGTGGAGCTGCTGGAGGCACAGGGGGTCGTTCCAGGAGCAGCCATTTTGAATGTAGCCAACCATGCAGAGCAGCTGCTGCAGACCCCGTCTTCGTTCAGCTCCAGCAGCCGCCCCACGGACTGGAGAACCTCGGTCAGATGCGGGACGCACTCAACCGAATGTACGAGCAGGTGTCCATCCTCCAGGCCCAGCCGAACTCGTCGGCCGAGGCGTCCCAGCAGGTGCTCGATCCACGGAGTGACTCAGATTCGGCGCATGCTGGAGGGCACGCTCGAGCCGCTGAGCGACGCGATCGACCAGGTCGGAGAGGGCGTTATGAATTTGGCGGCGCAAGTCACCAACCTCGAGGGCCAAGTGAACCAGGTCGGGCAGTTGGTCATGACGATTGCCATGCATGTGGCCGGGCTGTGCCAAGCAGTGGGACGGACGAGCACCGGCTCGTCGGCGGCGGGAACGGCGTCCCCGAGAACACCGCCACAGGCGGTAGCACCAACCACACCCGGCTTGGAGGTGGTGTCAGCAGGATCCCGGAGGATGTTCCGTCGCGCTCGGACGGCAGCTCAACGCAGTAAGTGAGACAGATCTCTCCACAACTTCACCTCCGCCTCCCTGCATGCGTCCTCCTCCGTCCCCGTGCGTGTTTGAGCCCAAACATCGCGCCCAGGCCGTGGCTCCCGACCCATCCTCCCAGCCCGGCTGGCTATGCTTCGGGTTTCCCCGTGCGAGGGCCGAGGGCCCACCGATGTCGAGAGCAGAGCTAGGCCAATGGCTCGATGGCGATTCGTTTAACGACGACCGAGAAGTGGCCCTTCCCTGGAGAGTTTGAGATTGTCTCGTGACTTTTACCTCTGACCAGGGGGGTCCAGTGGCCTCTTCACGGGGTGACGTGCTGTGCGCTGTGACTACGGGCGGGAGAGACCAGGGCAACCCTTCCGGTCGCCAGGATCGGAGTCGAACGGCGTTTGTAGAGATTTTCTGCCCCCTTCGTTTTGTCCCCGAGCTGGAGAAGAGAGGGGTCGCAGTTCCGTCCAGAGCTAGTTTCGATCGACGCCTTGGATGGGATTCTCGCAGGCCTGAGTCGGTCCGCGCGCTGTGGCAGACCCTGAAGCGTGATCGGCCCCAAGTGGCGCGGCTTTGTCCAGAGTGTAGGGCCTTCTCTCTCCTCCAAAGCATCAGCCGAGATCGAATGGATCCCGAGCGATATAAGGTCATGATAGCCGAGGGTTTCTCATATGGTTTGTCAGCGCTGGTTCTTTGCGTCGAAGTGGCTATCTATTAGT